CTGTGGTGTTATATATCTGTTGTAATAACTTTAAAAACATATAACCTCTGAGGTGTTATATATCTGTTGTTATAACTTTAAAAACATTAATTTCTGTGGTGTTATATATCTGTTGTCATAACTTTAAAAACATTAACTTCTGTGGTGTTATATATCTCTTGTCACAACTTTAAAAACATATTAACCTCTGTGGTGTTATATATCTGTTGTCATAACTTTAAAAACATTAACCTCTGTGGTGTTATATATCTGTTGTAATAACTTTAAAAACATTAACTTCTGTGGTGTTATATATATCTGTTGTTATAACTTTAAAAAAAACATTAACCTCTGTGGTGTTATATATCTGTTGTAATAACTTTAAAAACATTAACTTCTGTGGTGTTATATATATCTGTTGTTATAACTTTAAAAACACATTACCCTCTGTGGTGTTACATATCTGTTGTTATAACTTTAAAAAACACATTAACCTTTTATCAGTTGTACTTTAAGAACTGTTTTTTCATGTATTCGTGAATTTCTTTATTTGACCAAAACGTGAATTTTGGTGAAGAAAACGTTTTGCAGAGGCCTAATCTGTTCTTTGATTCGCTACTTCCACTGTAGCAGACTAGTTTCGCTGAAATCACAGCTAACGATGCTACTTGGAAGAGCGAAGCAAATAAGTAAAGTAGGCCTGACATGTTTTGATTTTCCCGTTATGACCTTAATCCCAACTATTTTGGTGTCGGCCGGTAGTTTTATAAGCCAAGATTTCTTACATCCAGGTGGCTGGCCCAGTTAACTACCATCTCTTCTTTACCGGGATCTGGGAGGGTCCTAACCACCCCCCCCCTCCAACTGGTGTTTTGTTGCACTGTTAAATGTTGAACGTCATGAGGGTGTTGTTACTACTTAATTTCACTGTCATGACTACAATACCCCTACCATGTCACTGTTAAATGTTGAACGTCATGAGGGTGTTGTTACTACTTAATAGTGCATTACAAACCACAAAATATGGTCATTATACACCAAAACCTAACACCCCTCTCTTCAGTTAACGAATTTTAGGTTCTACAGTTTCCATTGTAACAAATATTTCTCAGAATGCTTCATTACATCGAATACAGTGGTAGATTTGAAGCTTTAAAGCTCCTTCGGTACATAAGAAGTGTAGACTTATACAACCATAATATCTACTGACCCTCATGGGCTTTCTCCCACTTACACAGGGGTGGATAGGCCCACCGGGACCCCGAACATTTGCATGGTGGGCCTGTGCATTTGACGAATTCTTAGAAATTGATTTTCAATTTCAATTGTTCAGCCAGTATGCAGCATGTGATGCTACCTTGGCTGGTCCTTTAATACCAATCCCAGCAACATGTGATGCTACCCTGGCTGGTCCTTTAATGCCAATCCCAGCAACATGTGATGCTACCCTGGCTGGTCCTTTAATACCAATCCCAATAGCATGTGATACTACCCTGGCTGGTCCTTTAATACCAATCCCAGCAGCATGTGATACTACCCTGGCTGGTCCTTTAATACCAATCCCAGC